CTTTAACAGGGTGTTGCTACTAGGGGTCTGTTGAGACAGTTCCTTTCAGAGCTTATGCAAGAGCAAGCGGTAGCCCCTGTGTGACAGGCCAAGACTTAGTATGATACTACGCTCTTGGTCATATCCCCTTAAAGGAATCCATTTTGATTCCAAGCCTGGAGCTCTACCCCAGGCCCAGGAGTCTGGCCCTAACAGGTAAGTTTGGGTATGCAGCCTAGGCCTTTGGCCGTAGGGGATAAATTCACAGACAGCCATCTGACATCCCAGGGGCAACTCACCATGAAAATGGTAAAGTTGGTACTTAGTGCTCGCCATGATTCTGGCCCGCATTCCCCTCAGCATGGTGGCGTGGGTATACAGTTCCCCATAGCGACCCCTAGAGGATGCAGTTCGAAGTTCCCATGAAAGGGAAAGTCTCAGGTTATTTATTTAATCATGGTTCCCTGAGTAGGGAACGAGACCCTGCGTCCTCTAGGTTTCTTGCCATGCTTCGGACACAAGCTTCAGACGAAGAAGTGGATGATGTGTTCTCCCGGTGCCTGTCGCACCGGTAGTGATGTCATGGCTGTCGCTGGCTAACGTGTTGTTGGTGTTTTTTTCAATGTATGCTTCAGACACGGGTCACGACGAGGTGTTCCCCATAGCGACCCCTAGAGGACGCAGTGTCTCGTTCCCTACTCAGGGAACCATGGTTACATAAGTAACCTGAGACGTTTTATGCTCAGATTCACTGGCGGCTTTAAGAAGTATTCCATCGGGTCAATCAAATTGCAGACAAGATGCAACTGATATATAGACTTCATGCTCATGGTAGGGTTGTTTCATTTTTATGGGTCCCAGCACATGTTGGAATAGATGGAAACGAGATGGCAGATAAACATGCTAAAAGGTCGTTGAATAAAATTAATGTAGAAATTGATGTAAAAATCAGCAATGCTGAAGCAAAGACAATTATTAAGCAAGCTGTTATTAAATCTTGTATATAAGTAAATTTGTAATAAATAATATGACATTAGAGCTAATATTAGGTAATAGAAAATTCAGAAGAATTATATCAAGGCTAAATTTATAAATGTGTGCAAATACATAGGGCCCCATTCATATATTTTGCCTGGGGCCCCCAAATCACTGAATCCGCCCCTGACCACACTCCAGCTCAATAGTGCCTCAGCAGTGCCATAGGCTGATCGCTTCCATGCCACATCTCACTGATGCTGGAGTTTGTGCTAAAGGAGCCCCGGCCAAGTATTGAGTGCATAAATCAACATACTTTAAAGAACTTGAACTTTTCTGTTTTGCAAGTCTTTTTTATATGACATTTTCACTTTTTGAAATGTTACCAAAAAAATTAACTTTTCCACAATATTCTATTTTTTTTAGATGAAACCTAATATCATTCTTCTGAATTTTCTATTACCTAATATTAGCTCTAATGTCATATTATTTGCACCTTCTGTTTGTAACTTTGAAACAGTTGAGCATATGTTATTACAGTGAGAGCATACAGTAAAGAGAGACAGATGCTGGAAACAATTTCACCACAAGATCTACATAATCCAGAAGAAT